ATACAAAATACACCACAGTCACTACAACCACCAAAATCATCTCTTCCGTCACAATTAAAACCTGAACCTTATTCTCAATATCCGCAAAATAATTCCTCATTAGATCAATTTAAATCACCGTCACTTTCAATTTCTTCTTCGTCAAAACCCTTTACAGAAGAAAAAAAACCTGACAAAATTTCTGATTTACAATTGGAACCTAAAACGCCATCACAAACAAATACACAGGCTTCTAAAGAAAATGTAATTCTTAATTCTCAATCAAATTTACCAGATAAATTTAATGCAAATTATGATACACTATGGTCACAAAATAAATTGAAAGATTTTAATGATAAAATATCTGATTTAGAATCAAAATTGAAAAATGAAGTGTTACAAATTCCGATTAAACCATCTGAAACCTCCACTAATGCAAATTATATTGATAATGCAATACATTCATCAGACATTATTAAATCTGAAAAACCTGAAGTTTTGATTAGCCTTGCTATGTTTGATAAACCAAACAATATAGATATCGAAAACCCAAAAAATACCGAAAAGGAGAATGTAAAATTTCGTGTATTTGCTGATCCTAATGACATCTATATTCTTAATTCTACACAGTCTCCATCAAGTATCACTGACAAAGGTAATTTAAATAATAATAATTTATTAAAAACTCAACCAATACATAATCAAATGCCAATGGATATGCCAAATAATAATTACGATAGTATACTTAATACATACTATAAAAATGATCCATATCACACATTTTCAAATAGACCCCAAGATATATCAAAAAATACTAATCAACCAAGTTCTAAGGAGAACAGTGGACACATATATAAGCAAGTCGATCTAATAAATCCTTCATCAAGTGTTAACTCGTGGTCGTTAAAGAAAAATGATTATTCATTAAATAAACGACCTAATCAAAATAACGGTTATTCAAAAAATAATGATATCTCACAAACGAGTGTATTTAAAACACCATCAGCTTATAACCAAAATAATAACCAGTACATTTCAAGTTCATCTTTAGATTATATTTCTGTACAAAATATAATTTCTATAATTTCAAAAGCAGTCGAGGCCCCGCTAGATGGAACAAAGGCTATATTTGGCTTGACACAGGCAAGTTTTCCAAACGCTAAAGTTATTCAACAACTCAATTTAACATATTCTGTCGTACAATCAATTATCCTTAGTCTTCGAAAGATTTTGAACACAGTTGTAAACCATATATTTGTAAGTCTTATTCGCCCCGTTATTTTACGATTACATTTTTATAAATTATGATTTTTTTTTCATGATAATATAATTATTAGCACCAGCGAGTAAAACGAGACTACAGTATGTTAAGCCCGATGTCAAATATACTTCCAAAAACTACTTCCGAACCTGTCCTTAACTTACCAACGATTGCCAGTCTAAAAAAAAAAAAATACCAATCCACTTCTGATCCGAATACGGACTCGTATAATAATCAACCTAAGACTGCTTCATCTACGATGATTATGAATACGTATCGCCAACCAACCGCTAAGACCGGAATTTATTTGGATAAACCTTACTCGCAGCAATTGCTTTCTTCGATATCTAATGTGGACACAAAAAAACATCAAAAACATATGTATAATAGTGAAATCAACGGAGCCAACATCGATTACAATGAATATGAATCATGGGACAGTATTAGAACTGCGCAACAAGCACCGAATACACGAGGATACGTTTCAGATATGCTGACCAACGAGATTAGAACTCAAGTATATACTAACTTGCCAGATTCGTACTCGAGCAACAGTCCAGAAGTAGAAGAATATTGCCGACAAGTGATGTTTGCCGTAGAGATATTTTTTCGAAATCAGGTAAAATGAATCACACATATTTAACGTTCCTATATCGTGTAGCAAAAATTTTCACTTTAATATTTACTCGTAGTAGCGAATTACTAATGCAGCATTACGAGTGTGCGTGCATATATCCATTAAATCTATTAATCTGTAAACCCGGCAAAGTTACAATTTTTCGTTAGGAAGAGTAAAACTCAATAAGGTTAATTTGACGCAGTACGCGTGTTGAGGTGTCACGTACACGTGTCGAGAGTGTGATGCACCACAGAATCTGTAGCACAGATATGTTTAAATAATTAATATTATAATAATAATTTAATACATAAAAAAATATATAAATTAACAATGAAAATAAACAACGATGGTGACCACAGTAAAAATGTAGGTAAAGTTTACATTACAATTATAACATAATATTTATAATTAGGGAACGAATTTATATGTAAATGCATATTTTTATTAGAACAAGATATTTTAGATTTGATAAGAAATGTTCATGATTTAAATCATTCCTATTAAAATGATGATACTTTTATTTTACATATTTTTATATATTTCACTAATTTGTAAATATTTTTAAAATTATTTTAATTATTTCATCATTCGTACGTATTTTTCGTACGAAAATACAAGAAATGATTTCAAAATTAGATCTAAAAACTTCTAATTTGGAATTATCGCCTTCTGATAGTATGCGCTTGAAATATGCTTTAAATGGCTGCAATACGATTGCGCAATTTTTAATTTTTTGACCCGACTAATTACACCACGATTGCACAAAGCAACACGATTGCGCCCATATCCCTTTTTACCTGATAAAATCACAACATTGCGCACCAAATAATAATATGTGTATATGTACTATGTATAATAATTTATGTACAACATAAAATAATATATACAATACTCGTACATACTTTCTACATATAATTTTCATATAAATGCACTCAAACTTATTACCTGTTAATTCACAATTTTCCTTCACAATTACTATAGACTGTCAACAAATTATCATCGTTGGCTTGGTTTAAAATCGTTTTTTCTAAATTACATGTATGCTAAATGTATATATTGACCCGTGTTGTATATATATAACCAAAATATTATCTAGATAAGAACGGATAATACATTAAAATTTCATATGGATAAGATAATTGATAACTATTTAAAAATTTATCTGGATAATATATAAAAGATAACTACATTTATTTAGTTAAAAAAACAGATAAAACTAGATAAAAATATGATAAAAATATTTTTCATATTCATTGATTAATTGTAATATTTGGTCGTCAGTGAAGTCCACTTTAAATTATGTAATTTCAAAAAACCTACACTATAATTTATAACCTACACATTACACGTACACTGACAAAGTGACAATGATCATTTTATTTTTATTGCGTTCGGATTTAGATTCGGACAGTAAATACACCAAAATAACGAAAAACCCCGTCCAATAGTAGTCATAATTTTATTTGATGTACCGACAATCCGGCAAACACGAAATACACATGTATGCGCTGTGTGTGATGTTTGCAAAGGCGTCCACACCGTTTTTGACGAATGCTGTGTATGTGCGTGTGCTGCTTGTCGTGTTTGCATACTATGTGGACGCGCCTTTATAGTACTATACCGGTGTACTCTGGGTGAACGTGATTTTGCGAACGGGCGACGCGATAAAATTAAAAATAGATTTTGTATACGGAACGTCCTATTTAGACGATGAACAAGAGGGCGAGCGGACGATAACAATATTATTCGCTCGGGTCAAAAGAAATATTTTTATTTCTGATGTGGGCGACAAACACTATTTTCTGGATATGTAGTGCACATCTATAGATCGCTCGCTCGCGTTGAATATCGCGTCAACTACCCGCCCGTCCGCTTGCAAAATCGCGTTCACCTATAGGACACATAGTAACTGTACTGTTAATTATCGTTTATTATCGTATAATTTTTCTTCATTTCATGTTATCATTTTTGTGCGGCATTTTTGTCCATTAAGGTTTACAGATAATATTATCTATAAACCTTGCGTATCCACAGCACGGATATAGATAATATTATCTATAGCTGTGATCCACAGCCATCGTCGACGGCGGTGATAAGCTTCCGTGTTCGACCCATAGAGTAATTACTCCATGGTTCGACCGACCGGATACGTAATTGCATCGTTATTATCGTTGTCGCATGAAAGTGTTCGTTATTCTATGTTTTCAAACGTTATCGGTTATGTTTTGGCTAATGTTCAAGTCATGCTCTCGGTGCCACAAAGTTTCTTAAGTTCACGTGTTTCAGTTTTAGTGTGGTGGCAATGACACATTTTATCGTCAATGTGGTGTCCGACGGTCATAGCTTTCGTGGTGAATGCCGTCGGCACCATCTCTGTCGACGTTTCAATCGATTATTTTGTTTTCGAGTACTAATCGTACGATTATTCGATTATTTTTTTTTCTCTGTTTTGAAAATCATTCAATTGCTTTCTTCACTAGTGTAAAGGCCGACGGGCCTTGTCATCGAAGGCAAATTATATAATTTTATTGTTGAATTATTGTATTATTTATATATAACACTGCGGTGTGCCGTCGAAGGCGAATTAATTTATTGGATTCATTATTATTGTATATGTAATACTGTGGTGTGCCGTCGCAAGCAAATCATTTAATTTAATTTTTTTTTATACATTATTAAAAATAATTTTATAATTACATGGGGGTATGCTTATAGCGATGCTATAATTTTAATTCATGTTATGCTTTTGTATTGAAAACTCTATTATTATTAATGAATTGTCATAAATCCGACCGATAGTTGACATTTTGACAACTATTTGTTCTGGTGTTTGAATGATAAAAAATTGTAAACACTATTTGACATGCGAACATCAAACAAAAATAGTATAGGTGCATGCGTAAACGTATATTTTTTAAAAATATATTAAATAACAGAATGAAATGTTAACGCGTAGTTAAAATTACGACATATATTATTGTTGCTAAAAACTTACAATAAGTATTATAACAATAACTTAATATGAATGAATATTGCTAAGGGAATATTTAAGTATTACTTCATGACATTTTTGGAAAACAAAAAATAAAAACAATTCACTAACTTCAGTGGCAAAGCATTTCTGTGATCTTCTTATAAATAATAATGGATCGCTGATAAGATATTAAGATCATTCTTAAGTCTTAACTCATAATGTTTTGTATGTATTATGTTTTGATGTGTATCACGGTCCATAATGTAGACTCGACAGCTGGCCGAAAATCACTTTAAAATCTAGGGTTGGGCAAATGCATACTCCTGCTTCCTCCTTCCCCACAAATGACGCCCCTGGTTCCAACTATAGGATGAATAGTTGACGCGCTCTTCTGAATTATTTCTTAGTATAGATAAGTCAACAAAAACATGTCAAACATTATATGCGAACGTCTTATAAAATAACAATTAAACATAGTGTTATAGGCCGGATCGGTTAAACTCGTTAGAGTCCGTCGACACTATGTAACGTTTATAAGTTCGCACTTCGAATAAAGTAAAGGATTAAAAAATGGTTAAGACTCGTGAACAAATTGCTATTATGAGTTCGTTTATTGACCGTTCATGTACTTGGTTACAATACGACTGGTTATACGGACGGCGAGAGGCGTCCGGTTAATCCAAAAATGCTTACTTGCATTACTCCCCACATAAAGGACTAATGCCTACGCGTACATGTTATGTATACATTCATAATAATAGTTATAATAATAATAATAATAATAATAATAATAATATATATACTAAATACTACTCGCTTACAACAATAGGTACAATGAAAATGACAAATGAAAAGTATAATATACTTAGGCTTTTGATAAAAAAATATTATGTACGGTTTTTCTGTATTTGTTTGTATGCAAAATACATGTGATAAAAGGAAAATATTTCAGATATGACTATTGCTGATGATTACATAAAATATTTAATTGTTAAAACGTTTAGTTATTCGTATTTAATTAATTTTAATCAATGCTTCACCGATATCAAGTTACATATACATTGTACTGTATAAGTCCGCATTAAAAAGGACTGGGGGGCTTCCCCGGGGCTCACATATAAAGAGCCCATAGTTTTCTCGGCTTAAAAGTACATTGAGTGATCTTATACTTTTTATAGTACCTACAAGAATATTTGTATTCTTTCTTGTTTGAACTAATGGACGTTGGTCACCTGCCAACCATGTTAACTACCACGGGTATGGTAAGTGAGGGCACATGGCTAGATTTGTGGATATGGGGATATATTCAGTGCTCAACTTGTTTTCATAGTTTTAAAAAATTGTTTTATTTGGTGTTGGGCCACAACCACGTATCGATCACTTGGTTCTGAAGGTCTTAATCCGGACTTGTCTATATAATATCCTATTTATAATTATAGTTAGTGGCGTAACTGGGAAAAAATCTAAGGGAGGGGGAAATAATTTATTAACCATGATCAAAATCCTAAGCCCCCTGTTATAAATATATTTGTATTGTATGTATTTTATGTTATAAATATATTTGTATTGTATGTATTTTATACAATATACAGAATATCTGAAAAATGTATTAAAAATTGAAGTAATATTCACTGCTTTGGGCGTCAGTAGTCTTTTTAAATTTTAATGACATGAAATTGAACAATGCCAACTGACGTTTAGTAGACATTTTTTTAAAGATGTACCTAATTAATAATTATTAACTAAGTATAGTAGAAGAATAAGTAAGTAAATAATAATAGAACAGTATAATTTACAAACTTCCAGTATAACACTAAAGCACCCTATCACAGCACAATGTAATGTGGTAATAGATATGTAAGTATAAACAAGACAAAATTATATTTTATCAGTTGTAGTTATTGCAATTTGTTATTAATCTAAAAATAACTTCTTGTTCCTGTAGTCATAATTTCGATTTCAAGATAATAATATTAGTATAGTAATAGCCGTCTTATCAGCGGTAGAATATTTGCGGCTTCATGGTGTATAAAAAAATAATAGGTACTATATTTTGGTGACGAAACATGGTTGCGCTAAAATATATTTTAAAGATGCCTAAACCAAGGGCGTATTTGTGTTGAGGCCATGAGGAGGGGAGAACTAATTTTTCTTCAATACAAACTTAAAAATAATTTACAGTTCATTACCTACAGCTCATGTTCCTGTTAAAATTATAACAAATTATAATGATAGACTAGTAATTTATATTCTTAATTATTTATACATTACATTTTTTAAATAAATCAATGTGTTATATTCAAAAAAAAATACGAGCTATGGAGGGGCGTATGCCCCCTTCCCCCCTCAAATACGCCCTTGGCCAAACCTCTATAGAAGACGTGTATGGTGTGTAGTATCACGTGATGTTTGTAATGTTATAGATTGCATTAATTATGAATATTATATATAGATTGTAAAATAGTTGAAATAACCTTGTTATAGATTATTTACACGACGCGAATCTGATGCGCGAGACATCTGATTCACCTAAAAATGTTTACACAATACGTATCTATGTGCGAAACAATTACTACGTTTACATGCATCCATTAATTCGTATTAATTTGATTCGTATTGAATCAATTCGAATTAGGTCACAAGTATACATACTATAGTAATACCGTATTAGGATAATACACTTCCACCAAACCAGTTTACGTGGCAACGTTTACATGCACAGTTTAAACCGATTTACCTATAATCTATATATAGATCCACCTTGATTATAAATTTAATAATTGATAACGTGTATTATACCTTATCACAACAAATTACCGCAATCCTGATTCGGTTGTTGTAGTATCATCCGTTTATATGCATTTTGAACTCCCGTAGTTATTTCCAATGCGCATTTCAAATGTGAATTAACTAAACCGTTTTAGGTAAACCGAATTGGTATAAAACTGAATTAACAGTCGTTTACATGCATTTAACTCCAGGAGTTAACTAATTCGAATTGAGTTAAATCGGTTTTAACTGTGCATGTAACCGCGGTAAATGTGACTTAGGGCGAGCCACGGTTAATGCGGGGCAACGATGGCGGCAATACGCTACGTGCAAGGCACGACGCTCAAAGAAGTAGTCATACTTATATAATAATTCAAATACTCAAATCATACGACGCGAAACAAACGTGCAAATCTTCTTTGACGCGCGTCCAAATACCGACTATAAACTTCCGCTCGCCACGAGGTATCCTCGCTTGACTCGCTTATTACCCGAGGCAAGTTCAGACAGGGCGAAAGATGTTTCGAATATTGACTCGTGCATCAAGCCTCGCGTCGTGTATACCCGGCTTAAGAATGTGAATTGTATTGATATTGTTAATTAGGTAATATTATTATAAAAGGGGAACTGATATGTTACTCGGGGCCTCACTTCTGACTTGCATCTTGTAAAGACTAAAGTAATCCATATGTGAAGAACTGCAGTCTAAAACTTTTCTCGTGTAAAAATTATTAAAATATTATATAGTAATTCGAATCAGTTTTATTTTATTTAATTAATCTAGTTAGCCTACTCGATGGACTTACTACAAGCGTTTGTCATTAGGTTTGGTCTCTTTTTCATTCTAAGGTGTCAATATATATATGGCTTAATAAGAATAGATTGACTTTTTTTTCTTATTATCCTTATCTAAAAGAACCAACAAACAAATTTGTCATAAAATTTTTTGTCGCGGATCAACTATTGTAATGCTGTATAAGGATTTTTATTTTACCCCTTATTTCAATATCGGTAAATTATAAATGCTTATGTTAACTTTCTTGTTATATATATCATTTTAGAATAGATTTAAACATAAGTTTAATCCAGAGCTTAGTTGGTCTGGTCCGTATTTTTCCTGACACTAATAAATATATTTTTTAATAATAAAATCATTCATTACTATTTAGTTTTGTTTGAATCATATTGTAGTCAAAATCAAAACAAACACTAAATACAAAGGTACATCAAGTGCCGTGTTTAAATAAAAGTGGCCCAGGGCTAAATATTTTACTGGCGTCCTTTCCAGAAAAAAAATAATAACACTAAATTAAGACATAACATATATTTATTTACTCAGTCATAGTCACAATATAACAGATTACAAGTTTATATTTTACTTCTCTGTCATGTAGTAAATTCTTCAATCATGCAGTTATACACATAAGTTGCGAACTACATATTATTTTATATAATAAATGTATATTTAATTTACCTATAAACATTGCAGTTTGTTACAGAGTTTTAACAATTGAGAAATATAACTTAAAAATTGATAACATTCATATTTTTTGCAGTATTTTGTATTCAATTCCTGTTTAAACACTTATTTAATAAAATAATATTTGTTTTTTTTTTCAGATTAATAATGTACTTCAGGGATATTCACCGAACATGAATACGATTTAAATTTGTTAAGGAAAATATAACAAACTAAATCTTTTATTTTCTTCACTATATTTTTTTTACAAATAACCATATAAGTAGAAGTTTTAAAGCTATTACAAATAAATTACAAATTAAAAAGTAAAATTATGTAATAAATTAAGGCACAAGTGTAAGGCACTTAAGTTTTCATGCACATAAAAATTTAAAGACTTACATTAATAATAATAGTTGGTATATTAGTGCATAATATATTTGTGAGTATCATATGATATGTGATAAGTGAAAAATTATATAAAACTTAAACATAACACAATAACTTATTAATATAAAATAATAATAATAATAATTTAACTGTTGCAATTTAAAAGTATTAATACTATAAAAAAAATATTAAATATTAAGAATTATATAAAAGTAAAAAAAATTAAAAAGTAAATAACACCTTAATTTTTGTCATTTAAAATTTGGAAATTATAATAAATACTCATTCTATCAATAAATAATAGATTGAGTGAGCAAAAACATACGACTCAAAATGATAAAATATTATATAGGCTTTTAAAATAACTTTCTTAAGTTGTTCAGAATGTGTATATTTATATTAAATACAGATGTATAATAATAACATTTTGAATTAGTATAAGAGAAAAAATAAAGATTTTTACTGAATATTAAAAAAAAAGTGCAGTACAAGTTATTTTATTTATCCAACTAAAATTTTAAGTAGGAAATATTCAATATTTATTCATGTATAACATTTTTTTAAATCATAACAACAGCACAATTAATGGCAGTGTTCTAAAAATTTGATGTACATTTACATCAAAATAATAATTATCAATTTAAAAACAATATAAGATCTAAAATAATATAAATACATTCAATGTCATTCATTTAAAGTTCTAAACTTAATTTAAATACATAAATAATAATAATAATAATAATAAATAAAAGAATAGAGACTAGAATAAATTAAAAATTTTTGGTGCATAAGTAAAAATAAATAGGCGTCCACCTGTTTAAAGTGATATAAGATTAGAAAAAAAAAAATAGACAACTAAGATCATAATATATGAGATTCAAAGTTATAATATTTAAAGAATTAACTTAAATTATTTTTAAGAAATGTTATTGGAAATATTATATATTTCTACTATTCACAGGCTAATTTGCTATCAAAACTACTAAGAGTGATGGCAAAAGCTTGCATTGCACACAACGGATATCTGTAATCCATTGTGAAGAGATCATCAGAAATACGACCAAATTGAAGGACAATGTAATCAACTGAAAAAAAAAAATTATACAAATAATATATATGTATTTTTAATAAAATATCTAACTTAGTAAAAAAAAAATTATTTTAATTATTTTGAAAAATACAATATTTATTTACGTATTTAAAATTCATATATCAGTTTGAGTATTATTTCGGATAATTTGAATTTATTGTTTAATTTATGATTATAATATATATGAACTATATATAAATTATAAAACTCATAAATCATAATACAAACTTACTTTTTAAAAATCTATCAATACAATAAATAATAAAGATATTATTTTTATTATTATTCTAAAAACTAATATCAATATTCTAATATGAGTGACTGACTCACCATCATTGTCATGAACAATTTGAAAATTTTTTACTGAAGCTTGAGTGACCCTTCCATGAAAATTGAGAACATAAGATTGGGTTTCTTCATTCCATTGTGGTGTTTTGTTGTGTAATTCTATAAGATCGTCCATATTTTTTGTCCGATAATATTCTAAACATTATTTTTTTTTGATATACATCAGAATAATTGAGTATTATTGATAATAGTTGTAATCAAGTTTAACTTAAATTCTTACCTAATAGTGAACTGTAATTATCTGTTGTAGCTATCTTAACACGTTGGTGATTTTTATTCATGCCTGGTATTATAACAGTCATCTTACGTGGTCCCTTGAATCCTAGCACATTTGTTTCCTATAAAACAGTTAATTATATTTACAAGTATTAACCATTTACTATTTTTTTATTTTAATATTATATTTCTTTGTAAACAGTAAATAAAAGATACTTAATAACTTACATATACCACAGCTGCTAATTCTTGCCTTTCTAGCACTCCTTCAACTGTTGATTTATATGGTGATGTACCATTATCATATACAGTGAACTGAGTGCCAATTAAATTTGATCTAAGCTTGCCAACATATGCATCACCCCCTCTAGACAAATCTGTTGGATCAGTGGATATGAGGTAATTTGATGTTCTACTTTTTTTACGTTTACGGGCAGCCAATAAAAAAATCTAAAATATTAAAGAATAATGCAATAACATAACTGTATTGAAAATAAAACATTTTGTTACTGATTTACTTTTGACCCATTTCCTTTATCTAAATGTAAATAATATGTAGGATATAGTCCTCGGTCCATGCCTTTTTTATCTCTAGTAATGCGACATTTAAAGTGAACACCTTGAGCAGCCGGTTCCAAAACAAATGTTTCTAAATTACCAAATACATCTCCTTCCAATTCATTTGTCTATAAAATAATATATAAAAATATATTTCACTAGGAAAATACAAAATTATTTAAATAATTTACTTCAGTAATAGCAGAAGAAGGATAAATAAATGGGCTATTTTCTTTAATGTGTATAGAACTTTTAACTGGAGATATGGAACTAGATTCTTCATCTTCAGTATCTAAAGATGCTCTACGCTCATCAACTGTCATTTCTGCTACTTCTTTCCTCATATCTAAACAATTAACATTAATGAAAATAGATTTTAATTTAATTAATGAATATCAATGATATCAGCTCAACATTTTTAATAATTAGAATTTAATAAAATGGTTTAGTTAATTAATTTCATGCAAAAATAAAAACTAAAATGCACAAAAAAAAAAAAAATTATAAAATGTATACATGTAATATATAATCTTACTTTACTCAAACAAACCTTCAATAATATCGTGGTTTATAGAATGTCTTGACACACCTAATATATCACTAGAATCGGGACTGCTATTCATCATTGCGTAAGTTAATGGACCATCATAACCTAAAAAAACAAACAAATTACTTTGATTAATATAACAATTTTATTTGATAGTTAATGCTAGGTCAAGGAAACATATTATTACAAAATTATACATATAAATAATTTAGGATATGTTCAAATATGTTATATCATATAAATAAAAATTTTAAATGATTAACTCATTGTATGTTTATGTTTTATTATTATATATGTTTTTATTATTTAATATATATTAGATAAACAAGATGGACTATAAAGGTGATTCAAGGAAGTATATTTGCATAAAGTATAAAATTTATAGATAAAATATATCAGCCAAGATAATCATTGAAAAGAATAATGTAGAAGTACAGCTATTTAATTTTTTTATTCCTAGATATATGTACAAATTTTAGTTCAAAACAAAGATTTTTTAATAGATCAATAAAAATATTTAATTGAATAAAAATAAAACAAATATTATTACATTATTTTTTTTTAATTAATCAGTAAAAATATTAAATACTGATATATTTTAATGTACTACATTTGAGGGTTAAAAATTTGTTAAATAAACAATATACTTTTAAAAGCGAAGCTAACAATTTATGAATTTGTCATCTGTCAGTTAATTTAAAATTTAGATAACAATAAATAACACATGCATTAAAATTAATTATAGCTTATTTATATTTTTCACTGTGACTAAAACCTTCTTTTAGTATTTATATTCTTTGAATTTTCTACCTTAAAATAAAATTATAATAGTAAAATAAGACAGAATGAATACACAAATAAAATAAGAAAAATGTGTAAGTAATTCTTATTTTATTTGTACCTGATTAGGTAGGAACAATTAATAATACATTAGTAGAAGAGTACTATACTACATTACACTTTTATTAGAAATGTGTATCAATCAAAACGATAAATATCTTCGAAAAATGTATTGAAATTTCTACTTACAGTTCATTTCTAATGTCCGGCCAGATTTGGGCCGTATTCTAGCACTAGGTATAACATTGTCAGAAGCTTTGATAATCTGTGGAGTTTGTCTTATTTGCCGCATTTTCATCTCTAGCAGTTGTTTCTGTAAATAAACACGGGTTAACGATGAAAATTATTCCCAGATTCGATAAATGTTGTTTTGAAAAAACGTATTGTTTACTTGTTGTTCGAGCGTCTGGTGACGGACATTTCGAGTGGTCGCCGACATTGTTCGATTGAGTGCCAAATCACAAACGGAATGCCCTACAAGGTGACTGGACCAACGGTTCAATAGCCGCGTACTGCCGTCCTACTGGAGCAAGGAAAACGTCAGTTTTCTCAATAACGATACGCTCGCGGTTGAATTATTCATAAAGGTCTTCATAATCATATCAGGCGGGATAGGAACATTATTTATGTTTCGTGATCCCCCGAACAAAATTTCAAAGACCCATTAACACAGTGCGACAATGATATCGTGTGTACAAAGACTATAGCAATGTTTCCGTAACCTTAAGCTGTACAAGGTCTATGCCGTAATCACGGTTTTCCGTACGGTCTTCGGGAGCAACACGGACATAGGTAATATCGTTACTACTCTATGGACGGATAACGGATTGACGTCATCTGTACTGGTATCATGAACATTGGAGTATGTTCATAACTGGTATCATCGCGTAATCAAAAATATTGTAATCATGGCCGTTCGCCGGATATCTTCGATGTTCTTATTCCGTTAGTCGGCATCTATTTGCTTGAAGAAGGAACTGTGAACGTATATCCATTGTTCTCTAGATTATACACCTCGTGCGAATCACAAATGACGGACTTTTTCAGATTTTTTTTTGAACTGGCACCATGAGTTTTCTGTCCAAATATATTTGTGGTTCAGTGCGGGCATTTGGATACGTATGTCTGGTCATCTTTATTGTTACGCTTCTTTCCTTTGGCTACTATGCTTACTTTCGTTATAATACCATACCTAGCACTCCTGTAGTTATCAATACGTGGGCGTTTACCGATTCAACGACTAAAAGTAATTGTTTTTATTAATTCTAAATCTAGCACGCATGGGGGGGGGTTAAGGGGTTGTAACCCTCCCCCCGAAATTTTTTCCCGATGTCTAGGTTAAAATTTACAAATTTTATAAGTTTGAAATATGAAGAGCTAGTATTGAATACCTAGTATCAATGATTATAGAATAATCTATTCTATTATCAATGCTATTATTTAAGTCAAAATATATTAAGGATTTGCATAATTTTGTTAATTGTAAAATGTGTTATATTTTTACCTTGACCCCCTCGAAAAAAAAATCTTGTGTACGCCACTGGTTACCATACTTAAACTATCAAATTCAATGTTTAGATAATATTCAAAACAGTTTCTTTCGATTCATGGCCTTCAAATGCAATTTAACTTGTTTGTGTTATTCTCCTTATAGTGGTTCCACTATCACATAATTTTGATATTGCTATCTTATCCGAATGAAGAAGAATATATGATATAAAATTTGTATTTAAGTTTGTCATTGGTTATATAAATTGCATTCAAATTTTAAGTTTTTTCAATTTTTATGTTCCTCAGAATAGAACTAGATCAACCAATATGTTAATTATGCTTCTGCTTCTCCTATGAATAGGATAGTGTCAATAGCCAATGATTTAAAAATTGATTTATTTAACTTTAATTAAATTGAATCATTTAACGATTATGTAAACATATTTTTTTGTATTTAAATATGTTGTATTTTATTATTGTATTATTATTGTATTTAATGTTTATTTATGAACTAAATTATATTGAATTATTGTAATTGGATTGTTTGATTCATTGAAGTAAATAATAAATAAATAAATAATTATTTATGTTAATGGGTGCAAGAAAAAAATAAAATAGATACTGTTCAGGATTAGGAGCTTGATATAAAACAAAAATTGAAATTTGCACTCATTTATGATTCAGTAATTTTAAATATATTAATAAAACAATTTTATAGAAAAAATAACTATAATATATTTCTATAGGTTGGTCAATATTAAACTCAAATGGCTCAGCGATAGATGCAGTTGTAGCTGGATGTACTGTTTGTGAACAAAACCAGTGTGATGGGACTGTTGGTTATGGCGGTAGTCCTGATGAAAATGGAGAAACAACTTTAGATGCTCTTATTATTGATGGGTTAGGTTTTTAGTTGCACCTATTTTCATTGTCTTCAGTTTAAAAAATTAATTTTATTAATCCACAGAGTAACTATGAATATGGGAGCAGTTGGTCATATGAAACGTATCAAGGATGCAGCTAAAGTAGCTAGACATGTAATGGAAAACACAAAACATACTCTTCTTGTAGGTGATGGAGCAACCCAATTTGCAATACAAATGGGCTTCAAAGAAACTGATCTTAGTACCAATTATTCATTGACATTATGGAACCAATGGAAAACCAATTGTCAACCTAACTTTTGGAATGTATATTATTTAATGTTTATTATAGATTAAAAAATATAAAAATTGTAATGTTTAATTTAGAATGTCCGTCCAAATCCAGAAAAGTATTGTGGACCTTACAAACCAAATCCATCTTCAAAATCAAAACCTACTTCAAATTTCGTGGATATGAAAAATCATGATACTATTGGAATAGTGGCAATCGATCATAATGGTAACATTGCTGCAGGTACATCTACAAATGGAGCAAAATTTAAAATACCTGGGTAAGTCAAAAATATGTTGTTAAAGTTATAATTTTGATGTATAGAATATAATATATTAATACTGATTTACTTTAAAGTATGTTATACTGGAAAATTTAATTTAAATAAGAGACAAAAATATTTTGTTTTCAGACTTTTGCTTATTGTGTTCACTGTTAGTATTTTTTATTAGAATTAATATAATTAATTATTTTTTAGGTCTATGTTTAAGAAAAGTTTAAAATTGACAGATATAAATAATAAACCATTTTAACATATAATAACAAATACTATAATGTATAAGCTTATTATAATTTGAAGAGGAGTCGAAGGAAAATAATGTAATATCATATGTAGGGCTCGGATTTATATGTATTTATTTAACCAAAGTATGTATTTATATAACTTAAATATGTAAATAAATATGTGCTAAAAAATGTATAATACGTATTATCAAAAAAAAAAAAAAAAATAATAATAATAATAATAATTAAATGAATAATAGAAGAAATGTAATAAAATAAATAAATATTTATCTAACTATCTAATTATCTTGATTACAATTAATAACAACATGCATTTTTAAATTCTCGGATTCGAAAGATCGCCGATTCTGTCGTAAAATTGCTTTATATCGACTGAAAGATCTCTCAACTTCGACTGATGTTATAGGACAATATTGTTGACTATGTCTGAAGGAGAAAGTTCTACATCCAATGAAGCTTCAGTCGATGTACCAGTCAGAATACTTTTAATAGTTTTCATTTCTGCTATAACGGAATTTTTTTGTAATACATTTTTAACTTAAGCGTTTACAATATCGCCAATTGGTCCTTGGACTTTTTCAAGTCTTTTTACCGCTTCCTCTACTACACTTAAACTTTCTATTAAAGTTAAGTCTTGAGTTTCTTTTTTCGTAATGACATCAACCAAAAAATAATAATTAACAGAAATGTTTATTATTTCATTTTTTAAATCATTATTTTCTAAAAGAATTTCAGCTTTTTCAATATACATTGAAGTAGTCGCATCGAGTTCGGCAACAACATTTTTGATTTCTTGGAAGTTTTGGCAATAATAATTAGCGGCATTCATCCAAGTGCCTCATCTAGTTACAATTGGTTGTGGAGGAAGGCTTAGATCTGGGTACATATTTTTAAATATTTCGACACGGCTAGGAGCTTTTAGAAATATCTTTTTTACTGAAGATATTAACTCGTCAACTTTTGTAAATTTTGATCTTATAGTTTCTGTTATTCGGTGAAATGCGTGTGCTAAACACGTTAAGTGGATCATTTTCGGGAAAAAAGCATTTAATGCATTACCGGCTTTTATCATATATGGCGCTGCATCAGATACAAATAATAATACATTCTCGTACATAATTATATCGGGCCATAATATACTCATAGAATTATTAAAAAATCTTGCAACAGTTTGGTGGTTGCATTTATCCAATTGTTCACAGTTTAACAAAAAAGTATTGGATTTACTGTCATTTAATTTTCCAACAATATTTGCAATGAATCTACCATCTACATCGGTTGTTTCATCGATTGATACCCATATGGATCCATCACCAATTAAATTTCTTATAGAAGCAAGAGTTTCTTTGTAAATTGGTTAAATATAATTTTTTCTTGGAGTGCTTTCATCGAGAATCGATTGTGCAGTATATTTTTCCAAGAATGATTTTAAATTAGAATTTTGAAGTTTTGCTAGCGGAATATCAGCTTTAATAAAAGCTTGACATAAATCGATGTTGAATATATTAGAAACTGAGGAAGACGTAGATGACAAAAAATTTTGTTTGAATTTCAGCTTTCTATTTTTGTTCTCTTTGTGCTTATTAGTTTGTAAATGTTGTGTTACCTGAAATCGTTGTTCAATTGCTATCGATTTTTCACAAACAGCACATTATAAAATTTGACCGTTTATTTGTAAATGTTCATTTGGAAATTCAGAAACATATTTTATTGCTTTGCAAGTTTTAGACGATCGTACTTTCGGCATTATTGGTAATTTACACGTAAATATAAAATAACAAACAACGAACACAGATTAAACCCACGAAATTAAAACACGGTCCGTTCGTTACTGTAAGTATACTGACCCACTGTCAGTACTTCAAACACAAACATGTCTTAATAAATCGTAATCGAACATATATCGACAGTAGATTAGATTATATTTAATAATTGGTATTTTTTTTGTTATTATCTTGTAATTTTGGAAAAATGGGAAAGTCTGTATTAATAAATAATAAATCGTAAATGAACAAATTGTCGAAATATGTAAGAAAAATGGAATTATTGAGAAATATGTAAAAACATGTACTTATGACAAAATATATAAAAATATGTAAAATAAAATATAGTTCATTTGATTGGAAATTCCTTGAAACGAATTTATCACTTACCTAAATTAATTTATCAAGTTACAGTAAATATATGTATTTACATATAAATCTGAGCCCTAATCATATGTATATCATACCTACATAGGTACTTAATTAATTTTTTTTTTAAATATTAAATTTGTGTTTGTTGTAATTAAAATAAACAATTCTAAATTATGATTTTAAGAAAATAAAAAAATTCCACTTTTCAACATGATAAATATTAATTATTTCTTTACATAAAAATTTTTTTTTTTAAATAAATAGCCAACAATAATTATATTTTATGATTTTTATTATCTATAAAATTGTACACTGTTAATTATTACAGAAGAGTTGGTGATTCTCCTATTCCTGGGTCTGGTGCTTATGCTATGAACAACATCGGGGCTGCTTCAGCAACGGGAGATGGAGATATAATGATGCGATTTTTACCTAGGTAATATAAATATTTTTAATCTCAACTTTGAATATGATTCAGTTAATTATTACTGTCGTCTATAAATTAGTAATAAACTTTATTTTGTTATTAGTTTTCATGCTGTCCAAGCAATGAAGTATGGGCATAATCCGAAAGATGCTGCTCAATTAGCTATAAATACTATAGTCCAGTATTATCCAGAGTTTAGTGGTGCCATAATTGTTGTCGATAAGTATGGGCATTATGGTGCAGCTTGTCATGGATTTGATAAATTTCCATATTCTATAGCAAATTCAAATTTTGGTAAAGTAATGGTCTTATATGCTGAATGTACCAAATTATAAAATTATTTTCATTTATTTATTATTCATATAGATATGGATTGAAATTATGTTTCCATTAATAATATAGTTATAAAATTATGATATATTTATAATATTTTAATTAATAAAATTAGTTTAATATATAATTTAAATTTGTCATTTTCAATATTTCTTTATGATAAAATTATAACAAAAACAAATAAATAAAAAGTCATTAAAAAAATATTCACAATAACATAATTATGAATATACATAGGAACGTATAGTCCAAAAAAAAAAAAAAAAAAATGGTTTTCAATATTACATATTTAGTATTTACAAATAATGTAAAATAATTAAATTTAAAATTATTAGTTTTCGAAAAATTAAAGAGATTTATCAAATAATTATTGTTGGTGAAGAAGACGGCTGTTTCAACTATAAAGGAACAGTAAATATTACAAATTGAAAATTAAATTACATTTTATGAATACAATTTTACCTTTGAAAAATTGTAACTTAACATGGTTCAATTGATTCAATCTCATTTGGTTCACAGCAACTTCTTTCAAAGCACTCAATTTTATTATAACATTGAACCAAACATTGTCCCATACCGTATTCCGGTACCATTTGTATGTTTTGGTCGTCTTTGAAAAACTCAGGTTGGATAGTTACTTCTAAAATTCCATTTTCATGGAAAAAATTGATTACAGCTTTATTTATTTTCAAATAATCCTTAAACAAAAAATATTGTAATTAAATTAAATTAAGCCTTCTTAAATTTCTATACATAATGGTAATAATCATTAAAAGAGTGACATTCCATGATCAGATGAGATCCAGGAATAAGTGAATGGTATTATTGTATTAGTCTTTGAAACTTGAAACTAATGTACCATTATTCATGAAAAAACAATTTTGAGTAATAGATGTTGAGTGGATCAGTTTAGATTTTTAAATATGGTTAATATAGTTAAAGAACCAAATTTTTAAAAAGGTAATTTTTAATGTTCTTATTTTTACAAAAAATAAAAGCATTTAAAATTTTGGAAAATCGAAAATTTCATATGCATAAGCAATATTTATAGAAACAGTGCCTACATACTGCATTAAAATAAAACTATGAAAGGTCTTTTATTAAATAACTAATGTTGTTTAATGGGAATTTATTGAAATATTTACAAAATGACAAAGAACATTTTATGAAAAATCTTGTCAATTTTCAAGCCAAATTTAAAATTTTATTAATTTTGGACTACAACATTTTCGTGATTTTGATCGTTTTTCAAAATTTAATATTTAAATGTTCATAAATTTTCAGCTTGATATTAAACTCAATTTTTTTTTTATTTTATCAATAATATATATATAAATATAATTTATATAATTTTTAAATTTTTAAGAATTTTCGTAACAAATCAACATTTTTATTATTTTAATGAAATTTTCGAAAAAATGTTAAGAAAATATTACAATTTTAATTTTTTATAAAAGAGTTGAAAAAATATATAAAAATTAGACTACCTATTGCAATCAGAGATTAAAGCATTCTGTGAAAATGTCGCCTCTCCAATTATTTTTTTTTGAGTTACAAAGAATGAAAAAACCAATTTTATTAAAAACTGGTTTGTCGAAAATATTGCTGTATTTTTATAATTTTTCGCAATTATTAAGAAAACTGTTAGTAAATTCGTAAATTTATTCTCTTCAAAAAATTATATAGAAATTATCTAGACAGAAATCTTTTGTGACTGTATTGATTGAAGTAATCCTATTAGTTGAAATTGTGTATATAAATACAAAATTATACCATATACTTTGGTAAAAATAATACATTTCTCTTTCACTTAGAATCTTATAACTAGGTAAATCAGTGACAACATTTGTAACTGGGAATATATGAAAATAAATAAATTATACATAACACTAATATTATTATAAATTTCTTTAATGATCAATGTTTACTACACAAGTAATACAAATGTTTTTTTTCTTTGATTATTTCAGTTAAGTTTTTAAATTTGTATTAAAATATTTAACTCTGAAATAAATAGTATTAAATAATATAAAAAGCAATCTGCTATTATTAAATAATTTATTTCATAAATTAATGTAGTTCTGTGACTTAAATGACATATTTTATCTTTGTATTCTAGATACAAAATCCATCAGTTCTTGAAATATTAGTTTGTGAGATACTTTATTAGCTAACCAATATTTATTAGTAATAATAAAATTATACAAACTGATAAGTATCTAAGTTATATATTAGGTTAGGTTAGGTCATTATTATTAATATTATCATTATTATATTATTATATATTGGTAAGCAATTTATTATTGGTTAGAAATATTATGTAATAAATATGTTTAATGGAAATTGGTAGACACTGAATATAAGTTTCCTATTGGTTCTTATTTTTTTTTTAAATTAATGGATTTTTATTTTCTGTGATACCATGTATAATATTTTTACTGATTACTGAAATAAAATTAAGGCCGGATTAAGGGGGTCTAGCCGGGACGGTAGTTCCGGGGCCCTCTCGAATACCCAAGAGAAAGGGGCCCAAACAATTTTAAGCCGATACACATTTTTTATTATACTAAAATTAGTAGTTTTATAGACATAAATTATATAAATCTATTAATTTTATAATTTTATATTGCAATTGACAATTTGTGAAATATTGAAAAAAAAATTTATCATTCTGCCAGTGTAGCGAGCAGCTTTGTAAAGCATGTTTTATCAAAAGGGCCCATATAAAATTTCAACCTCAGGGCTCAATAGGTGCTTAATCCGGCTTTGAATATAATATTAAATAAATATAAAATTTCTTACTTTGGGGTTGAGAAATATAATATGAGCTGTGGATATGATTTTTTCTTCATTCAGTTGCCATATATGAAGTTCGTGTACATTTACTATGTCTGGAAATGTTTTCAACAAGTCTTTGCATATTTCATCAATGTTAATATGATCAGGCATTGTTTGAAGAAGAATTAAACACGATTCTTTCACTAAAATATTATAACATATATATAATTATAAACATTATACTATACATATATAATAGGTATTTCAGATTTCAGCCCAATAGCAATACATGAAATGTGTCATTTTATTACAATTTTTATAAAAGATCACTTACTCATTGGATACTTTAAGAAGAGTAAAATCGCAGCTGATATAATCGACATTCCTGGATCAACATATTTTGCTATACTGGGATCGGTGAAGTATACAATTATAGAACATATCATCACCATTGTACAGCCTACGAAAATCGTTTAATTTATTTTTCTAAAAATCTCATTGTTTCATTATGTATGTTTTACGAAAATGTTCTACCAACTACATCGCGACATATTTCTCTCGGGCTACAGTTTTTCACTTGTATTTTTTGTCGCAAAAATAAACGAGAATTCAAAGGGGTTGTAATTCCTTCTTGGTCCGGAATCGCTGCGTTTTGTGTTGCTAAACCTGTAATAATATCGCATCTGATAAAATATTCTATATTAAAATATCAAATTGTATTTATTGCTTATAGAATATGAACGTAAATAGATATATTATTAATGCAATAACGACGTAGTTAATGCACCATCTGTGATGCCACACAATGGAGATACAGTTAATAACAAGGGGAGAAAGCGGTTTTGATATTCAACCGCATCTTATTTGAGATTCATAAATATAAAAAAGTGGTATGCTCCGCGCTCTCATTTTATTAAATTAATTTTTTGATTATTGTGTTATTTACTGCATCAGATAAACTTATAAAAATATGGAGTAGACATATATTTTAGATAACAGAAATGTAGTCATGTCATTGGAAATTAACTCTGAATTGTGATTTCTAGACACCCTTAACAGAATATGATACTCAGACGTATTTTATATATACTATGCAATTACCTCCAAGCAATAAATAACACAATCCGTGGATAATTATGCCAACAAAACCGACAATAAACACACCTATCGGTTGGTGCATTGGATCTTGATGATTGATATGTATGAGGGTTTGAATGGCTTCAACCACCAAGGAGAAACTAAGAGAAGCTAAAAACACGCAACCACCCAGCATCAAAACCACTTCGATTCTTGCCCATCCGAACGTATTCTTCAGTTTCTTCTCGGGATGGGGATGTACGCACTGTAAAATCGCGAACAAAACGATATTATAGGAATAAATACATTGTAAATCTTTGTTAGAAAATCTTAAAAATATTTACACTAGAAGACGATATATGACTGGATTTGGATATGATTGCGATTTTGGGCACCACAGGAGAATCGATTTGGTCATTGACGATTTTCTCCAAACATTCTTCGTTTAAACAAATTTCTTCGTATTCCTTGTTCTGCGATAAGTACAATGGGTAAAGAAAAAGGTAACAACGCAGTACAAAAATATTGTTTTTTGAGATGAACTAAATAGAATGATATGCGTTATCATCACCTTAATACTTAGGACGGTTCCGATTAAATATATTAATTTGCATAGTACGTGGTATGAATCTACTAGTAGAGTGAGTGCATGAGTTATATGACTGAAAACTAGTTGCACTAAGAAAAAACATAATGTGAGTAAGATGACCTCGTGAACTGGATGAGGATTAATAGCACGGAGAACTTTTTTGATGGACATTTTTGTATTCAACTATGAAATAACAAAAAATTAAAAGAATTAAATTTAATAATCAATATGTATAACAAAATATATATTCGGTAATAATTATGATGATGGGGGAAGAGTTCGATGCAATTCTACCAAGTTCAATTTTAAAAATACGTATAGAATATGTGCTAAATTCAACTGATTTCGACTTATATTATAAAGTATTTTACATCAGTAATTAATTAGGTCTTATACAATTATTAGGATTCTATTTATAAACCATAATAATTGTCAATTGATTTAAAGATAAATTTGAATAATTTTACATGCTACAAAGTTTTTAGCACTTAGAGTATTCATAGTATTACATAGTAAATAAATAAAACGTTTGAAATTATAAAACCTTAAGTGAATAATATATTAATATTCCGAGCAAGTCAAAATTCGGAACATTTTTAATCTAAGTAGGTTTACACTAATGTTATATATTTATAATCTACATACTTATAGCGGGTAAAGGAACATAAATTAACTAGATGCTTAAATAATTAAAAAATATATTTAAATACAGTGGGTCTAATAAGTTAATTAGTAGACCACAGTTACCAGTTACCACAGAACAAATAAAATGAGTAGTACAAGGATCGCTATATTTAATTGAGTTCATGTTCTCGATACTTTGTTTAAAAATACGTTATTATTATATTAGTTTTATTGGCTATTCAATTGGTTTACACTTTCATTTCAACAATTGTTTGTCAAAACTTGTAGTCAATTATTGAATGTCTGTATCCTAATATTTTAATATTCACAAAAAATAAGATTAAAAATAAAATATACCCAATAATAATGCCACCAATGTTAGTTTTTTTTTTTTTTTTGATTCATCAAAATAAAAATACTCTTGAAAATTTAAGTTTGCCTATATTTCTATGGATATTAACATAATAAATCTATTTATTTCATACTTAAATCTTGAACTTTTAACGTATAATTTGATGAATACTTTAATAATGATGATTTATTTTGTTTATTTTTATTTTTAATAATTCGATGACTACCGTTAATATATACAGTGACGTATTTTAGGGTGGGGGGGGGAGTCTTGAGAAAAAAGAAAAAATTGTTCAAAAATCATAAATGACTTGCTACAAAGATATAGGGAAAAAGAACATAAATGTATATCAAGTGGTTGTAAACATCTCTTCATTTGGATTTATAAAAATAATACAATTATTAATTCATACTTTATATGTATTTTTTATAATATTGTAAGATCGCTTATTTTTAGAAAAATTTTAAACTCCTTTCAAAAAAAATTTGAAATCACGCCACTGTATAAATGTATATATTAGTGGTTTAATACTGAAATAGGATAGTGATAAATTCATCCAAGAAATCACTAACAACATTGGGTATCTATGTGTACATTTCTTACTGCATTTTAATTATTTAGTATTATTTATTATAATGATTAAATATCTAAATATAAGTTAAATTAAGCTTACATTCTAGGATTGATCAAAATAAATGTTAACATACGTACCATTATGTTGGTATATTGAATACATAAAATTAGCTGGAAATAATAGACAAATATTTGGACAGAATTAATATTTAAGAACTGAGCTATTGGTTTAGAAAATATTTAACTAATTTAATGATAATGCTTTAGTTTGAACTTTTAGTAAACTAGTATAGTTCAATAAACTATTGATCCAATTAATTTCTTTGTTTTTCTTAATTTATGATTTATTTTATCTGAGACACGAATATGAAAAAAAATCATTCGTAAATTAACAAAAGTCATTATTAAATATTGATATTCATTTTATTATGTATTATAAATATATATGTATAAAAATGTAATTAGTTTTAGCATTTTATTAAAGCAGAAACTGTTAAACGGTTTTTAATTTAAAATGTATACTTTAATTATTAATTAGCTACTGGTTAATATTTACGGTTTACGTTTACGAACAATCAGTTTTGAATGTAGTGAATAAGTTAATAGATACTAACTAATAATACTAATAACAAAATAGTTCGCATCGAGAATAGGTAAATATTAGATATTTCAATAGATATCTATATTAAAATATACATACAATTAATTTTTTTTTTTTTAATTTTTTTAATTTTTATTAAAATATTTCGTCATATTTCAAAGGAGATAAAATTAATTATAAAAACAACTTATCAATTTGTACTTGATTTAAATCCAGATTTACAATATAATACTTTAACTAAACTATTTTTCCATAGTCAAGAAATATTAATAAAAAAAAAAAATATATATATATAATGAAATATTTGATAATATTCCGGGCGATGACCTTCAAATTTCAAACATAATTTATTAGTTAATAGCAAGTAAATACATTGTCAGATAAGATAAAAAAAAATCAGTTTTTATTATTAAGATTATAAGAGTACTCGTGGTGAGTGTGTAATATGTCTATACTTTTATATTGTGTATATATGTATACAAGCTTCTTATGAAGATAATTATTAAAAGCCCATCGAAATGGTTATCTAACACAAACACCACATCTAGCTATCATATAGAACTTTTTTAAATGACAACCAAAATATATTCGTGAAATAATACTTCATTAAAATATAGTACACTACATAAGCCACAACAGTAGCTATCATATCCTCATTCGCTGAATATCTATATAGTTTTATCAACTAATACCAACAGACAATATTCGTGATTATTCATATACGTTAGACAAAATAATGGTAAACAATAAATTTGCAATAATTGTTGTATTAAATTGTTTTTAAAAATAAAATACATACATTAATTCGCATCGATTATTACGAATTCTTAAACTCAATCTGTATCTTGTTACTTGGAAAAAATAGTTGTAACATCTAACAAGTAAAAATATCAGAAACATAATTTTAAGTTTTAATTGTAGAAGAAATAAATGTGTTTTTATCATCACGCATTAGTGATTAGTATTTTCAAAAATACATTTATGAACGAGTGTTCATGTGGTATAATAGATCATTTTGTAGTTTATATACACATAGGTTTATGTTTTAAGTTAGCCAAATAATTTTTTTTAAATTTTCTTATTTATTTTTATACTTTTCTATAGCTCTTTCTTCACAATTTATTATATATGTTTTCTTGTTTTAGTTAAGCATATATATTTATTTTAAGTCAATTATTTAAACAGGGGTTGCCAACGTTCACGTTCTTCTATTTAAAAAATATAAGCTGTATAGGTACCTACACAATAATTTATTCTGGTACGATTTAATGAGAAATTGAAATAATATGATGTTACACATCATGTTCTTTAATACTTTTACGATTTTTCTTCTTATACAGTAATAGATGTAACATCTAAAATCTAATCTATAAACTACAACAAAGGTCTTTGACTTATGGGTCATAACAAAAAATACTATGAAAGGGTCTAAATAACTCGAACAAAAAGAATTCGCTGTTCCCCTTCAACAATGCCTTAAACAACTACACGGTGAATTGTAAATGTATTAAATATTTTTATTTAAGTTTTATTTAATATCTAACAAGTCATTTATAGATAAAGATTGATGTACTTATTGTAAATTTAAATATATAAACAGACTTTTTTTAATAAAATATTTAGAGCTTTTTTTTTTTTATTCTTTTCGATATTATAAAAAACAATTATTACAACATGCTATAGTACTCGTAATATATATTTGCCGAGATTGGGACAAAGAATTGCTAGTCCTACTGGTCTTGTTGCCGCCGACCCTATGAACCCTCCCGCCATCAATATTTCTTCGCACCACTCGGTCGTTCACGTAACCTTTTTATATTATACCCTTTCTTCTTGATACCAACCATCAGGATCAGCAATTATTTTGTACTAGGATCGGAAAATATATATACTTGCTGCGTTATTGTATTTTATTTACAATCATCGTATTCCAATGTAGTTATTTGTTTTCGTCTCAGATGATATAAATATAAGTAGTAAGTACTATGCATCTTGCATTAATTTTTATAAATAGATACTCTGATTATAGCTCTATTCATATATAGGTTGTTAATATTAGTTAGGTACCAAAAAAGATGTAATTAAGGTAAAATTATTTTATTTTGTCGACTATTATTAGAACATTTAAGTTGTAATTATATGTATGTACATTTTACAAACATTAAAATATTTTAGAATATCGGTACTAAATTTTTGAATAGGCATGTAAAGACTATAGAGGCGCTTTAATACATCTAGCCCCCCTTGCTACATTTAAAACACATAAGCTTCGGTAACAAATTGAGGTTTATCTACATTTGGTAACTATAAGAAATGTAATATAAAATAAATATACATATGTTATATAAATACATCTTAATTTATACAGAATCATTGCGCTAAATGTACTTTAAATTTTATATAGATATTTTCTCCCCTTATAATCTGAACTGGCCATTTCGGTCCACAAAAAATTATTACTATAAAAATTATTCAAAATAATGATATTCTTTTATAATCTTTAAAATACTCAATTTAAATCCATTTGTGGAAATCGCTATAGGTTCTATATAATATACTCATTGGTCACTCTTATTATATTATATTATATGTATGTATTCATACCTATTATATACTATTACTATAACTAACCTAACCAGATATACTGTTTCCAGCTGATATTTAAAATATTCATGTTTCAGTATTAGAGAAGCGTATTTTATTGAAATTAATTTACATATTTTTAACATTAACAATAAAAAACAATCTAGGGATAAAGAAATATCTTATAATACTTACCAGTTATCACTAGGAATATGGGATTAGAATGAAGAATATTTTAAAGAACACAAATATATAGGTTTAAAGTGTAATATGGGTAAAATTAAAAATGTATATTTCTTTAATCGAGTTATATGGTTTTGAAAAAAATATTTTTATATAATTTCTAAATCATTAATATACATAACGATTTTGGAGAAAAATAAATTAAGACTATTTCTAAATTTTTCAATTTCTTTAAAAGAATAAATTAATTTTCAATTTTATATAGTGAAACACAATATTCTGAACATCGACATGAACACAAATACCCAAAAGTTAAATAAAATATTAAACAGAATAGAGGTCATCGGTAATTTTTATAATTAATTTTAATTTATGTGAGTTTAAACTAAAGAAAGTAAAAACTTGTGATTTGTATAGTGAAGGTAAATACAAATGATATAACAAAATATTTAGTATTGTTTAAAAAGAGTAAAAATTAAAATTAAATAACATAATAAGTTAGACGAAATAAATAAATTTGTTTTCGAAAAAGTGGTGAAACAATGATGATTTCAAATTATATATAATAACTTTTATAGGTAATTAATTTCTAATAATGAATTAAAAAAAAACATATTAATTAGCTAAGAAATGTGCTGTAAATTTAATCACACGGGATATTAATTTTGTTTATTCGTAAATTATCATTATTAAAATTGTCTATGTAATGATTAATTATTAGTATTGAAAAGAGAAAGTTCCACGTGTGGTATATTTTTTTGACGGTCAAGATGAAAATAAACCACATGTGTACATTTTATGTTCGGTATTTTGCCTATCTAAATTAAGAGCCGAAACACTATGAGCGAAAGAGTTACGTAGTCAGTCCAATTGTATTACATATTTACTTGTGATTTGTTAGAGATACTTATATTTCAACTGGTAGGTACGAATAAATATTACAAAACAACATAGTTGTAAAAAAAAATCGTTAGACACATTACACATATCATAACTAGATAAGATAAATGTTCTTTACAGTATAGGACATAGGTAATGCTCATAAACATATTTTTCATTAGATTTTAAATTAAGTCTAAATTCCAGAAATTAATGTTAGAACACAGTATTAATCTAATTATCGTACACTTGACAGATAACATATATTTTTGTTTTTATTTAATATAGTTATAATGTATACATTTTTGAAGTTATATTAATTATAACAATGACATTACTTAATATACTTATAATATTTAATGTAATTATTAGTTCCGTAGATCAAATAAACATCAAAATATTAAATTCATTTAACCAATTTGTTTTTGTATATTTAATGAATGCTTCTTTTTTAACCACTATTTAATTAATAGTACGTCAATACACATTAATTATAATATCCTTTTAATCACAATTAATATTAGTTTCAAATAGGTAACAACACGCATACCAAGAATTACAATTGTTTATAAAGTAGAACGTTCGAATAAGATATTTTTTATAATATAAAGCGAATAAAAGTTTTCTTCAAAAATAAATCACTCAAGTTGAGATTTGGTATGTGTAAATATTGCATGTTATTGTCGTTAGTGTTGTGTACATATAATATAGCGATAAACAGTAATTCAAGTACACTAGTGGCCAATATTGCTATACTGTCTTATATATAAATAGAATATTGTGTATAGAAATAAAAAATAAACGTTTGTCAAACAATGTGTACGTACTAATGTTGTACTCGAATAAAAACATCGGTTTGTTCAAGAACTTCGTATTTAAATTATTTTTAACTATAAACTCCGTATCCGCTAAAGTTCGTAAAATTATAATGAAATTAATAAAATCGACTAAAGTACTAAAATATGTAAGAGGACAGAAAAATTCACAAGTTTTATATAATTATAATATGATGCTCGATGCCGAGTAGAAAAGACTACTGAAGATATGTAGGTATATCCCTTCTTATTTAGAACTCTTTTTTGGCAATTTTTCAATTACTTAAAGCACGTTATACATTGAGGAGGAGAGGATGATGTATTTCTGAAATCTCAAAATTAAAAAAAGAACATAATAATTATATTATTATTTGAATGGTTAGCGATACAATTTGTCCTTCATTTGAATACACTAGATAGTTGAATTTTAATTCTTATACTCTCTATTTATCTCATTTATTAGTTAGTCAATCCTTATATATATGGTGTAGTTTATTTAAAATTAAAACGTTAGATTAAATATCCTGTCAGAATAAAGTGGTATAAATTAGGTTTATAACATACTGTAATTATGCTTACATGTATACCTTAACTTCTCCCCCCCCCCCCATAAAAATATCACCCGAATATTCTATTATGCGTGATTAATTTAAGACTACTGACAATTAAAATGGTTCGAAATAGCTGGGTCCTTTATAAAAATAGTTTTGTGCTGGTTTAAAAACATGGTCCTAAGGCTTATAATTTATAAAAAAAATAAATATTTTTCTATTTTACCATTGACATGTTTTCGGGAGGGACCGAGTGGGCACTGGCCCCCAAGGCAAATCATGTCTCCAACAAAATCATGCCCAGATAAAAAAAAGTAATGTGATCTGCATTCAATACCAACAGTTCCAGTATAGTACACTAGATTATTATGTGTTTATATTTTAGTTTTAAGTCAGTGCGAGTTTTTTAACATAAAAAATAAATATTTCTTCGTGACTAAAAAAAAAAAGCCCCATGATTTAAAAATTTGTTATACCCACTTGCCCACTAAAGTCTGAACACGCCTATGTATTTTACATTTTAAATTGATTTAGTTTATAAGATTTCAGAAGAGTACTCGGTGAAGGTTAAGGAGTAATAATACTTGGACCAAGTGAAAACCAATAAAATTATTAACATTGCCCTGACATCCTGAATCTAAAAAATAATGCTAATAATATGATCATTGACGCATATCGGAGAGGGGCTTACAGAACAATGTTACTCAAATTTTTTCCAAGCTCTTTTAGAAAATATCATAGGTATGGTGTCAATAAATTTAATGCTATAGTCGTTTCATTGTCTAATTATGTAAGTAAATAATTTTATGAATACTATTTTATTATTTTAGTTTATAATTTAAATGTTTTATGTTACATACACTTCAAAACTAAACTATTTCAGAAGAATTATATTAATGTAAGAACATACCGAGTTAAAGTGAAAGTGTGAATCTTAGGAAAAAAATAAGTGTATATTCCAAACAAGTAACGATTAATAACTAAACAAGATTTTATGAAGTAAAATATATACGAACATATTAAATAAATAATTAATGGTTCTTAAAGGTAATTTAAACAAAATATTATGATAATAAAATACAATAAAAAAGAGAGTTAATATTTCATAATTTGTCCATATTATTATTGCCTAGTTTGTTTTTAATTATTCAAATAATAAATGGTCAAGCAGATATATTTAAGATTAGGATTTTCTTAGTGTTACGTGTTTCGATACAAAAATATATCATAGTTATGCAAATACATTCTTCAATTCATTTAAAATTTACGAGCTAAAAGTTTAAGAATATTATTTAAAACATAATTATATTTTTAATTTAAGTGCATATCATTAAAAAAATAATCTAGTAATTTAATTTAAATTTTAAATATTTTCTTGTAAATTTAACTAAATTTACTACTAGGTATCTGTAAAACATGTAAAATATTGTGCATAATAGTAACATATTTGTGTATAAAAAAAAAGATTAAATCATTTATCGTTTTACAAAACTGAATCGAAAAAAATGTTTTTGAAAGCTATTTTTAATTTTACATTAAAACATTTATAATGTTATTTTATATTACTAAGTAGATAGGTACTACTTTTACTTAATCTTACTTATATGTAGCAGGTAGATAAAATGTTAAACTAATTGAAATATTTAAAAATGTTAAGTTTATAGATAATATAAATATGTTATGTTAATACTCAAAAATTATGTTTACAACAAGATATATATTTAATTAACTGTAAAGTTGAAATCAAAACTATAGTGTTTTTCAAGATAATCATATCAGAAGCACCTGACGATTTTGCATTCATCTAAAATGTGATAGGTAGGTACTTCTAAACATATTACACATTTAAAAATCTGACACTAATCGCAGATATATATCAATAGGATTATATTTGTACAAAGATAGTTTATTGTGATAACTTGAGGCGCACAGTAAATTGTTTTACTATTAGCTTCTATTTTGCTTCTTTGTCGTTTTTGTCTCAACTCAATCGCAATTTTCTTGCGATTCTCTCAAATTTATGGGCAGTTCATTTTCGTCTATCGTTTACAGATGATTATGTCCTCTACCTTTCGATTCACATACGCACCAACTACCTCCATATCATCCTCAATCCCATACAATCCTTTCTTCTTCAGTTTTATTTTACTGCTCTTTCATTTTACGTTAATTTCACAACATCTCTCACTAGGTAGTCTTACTCAATTTTATTAAATAATTGTAAGTTTGTATTTTTTTTAGTAAAATTTATTATCATTGATTAGTTCATAGTAGCGTAGAATATTCATAACACTCACATAATAGTTATATATATATATATGTATATATATAATTGACTGAATACTGGATAAACACAATCGTAAAATGTGATGTCATGAATAATAATTATTATAACTTAAAATGCACATAAAATATAATATGAACATTTATTATTCATATTGAGTATATAAAATAAATTATACAATATTATGTAAGTAATACATTTATAAATAATACATATATCATGTATCATTATTCAATGATATTGACTTTAAGTTGTAATTATGAATTAATTAAAAAAAAAAAAATAAGTCTTAGAAAACCAAAGAGAATATTTAAATATAGTATAATCAACATTCAAATTTCAAATACAGATAGTCATTGATAACAGTTACAGCTCATATTAAACATTTATTTTATGTATTTTTAAGTTTTATTTTATCTGAAAAATTAATAACTAATAATTTTAAATGATTATGTATTTATCCTATAACCTACCTAAGAATATATTCATTAGCAGATAAATAATCTTTATTTTCAACTATTTAATTTGTAACAATTTAATATACCTACTATATTGTTCATTGATTACAAATAATAGGATTTTTTAAATAATTTTAACTAATCAATAACAACAATTAATAATTAATTACATATTTTATGTTTATATAATATTTACTAATCTATATCTAATTAATATAACCTGTTGATTGAGATACTTAACATTATTTTTAAATAATAATTTTATAAATATTTGATTATTATTGTTTGAATTGTTATATTTTAATATATGTATTTTATAATATTATATTTAATTCACAGGTATTATGATACTTGTTGATATACATTAATACATATATATGTATATATAATTATATATACCTACTACATCATAGTACATTTAAAACTCTAGTAAGTATTTTTAATATTTACGCATTAAATTCAAGAAAATATTTGTTTCCCAATAATAATTATAACGATTGTTATCAAGCATTTTATACTTTTTTATTTTACGATTAAAAAAATGTATAGTACCTAACAATACAGGGCTGCAAGCAAAGACTTCATAAACAGATTGCACACATGAAAACATAACACATAACACTGACACATACAATCGAGAGGATGATCGACTACTGTAGACCGTACCACGCACGTGTGTAGCTCGTAAATGTTTACTAAACTAGCGGTTTCATGCCACATGCATTTGCGTTCCTTTTATCGTACCTCGCAACCTGTTTCCCCACCACAATTCAAAGTGGCTACTAAAGTACACAAGTAAAAACAAACGGTTGAGATATACGAATAAAAAAAATTAATTTGAATAAAAATCGTAGATATCTATTTTAACAAGCCGAAAACGACATCGGGAATTAAGGTAAATTATAAAATTTACAAATGACAGGGACGTTGTTAACATGTCGGAATCGACAAGTGATCTACTGTAACAATAAATTCACACTATTAACAAACGTCTTATTTAATTTAAATGATTAAATAGTTATGACTATCAACATCTATAATAAAAAATAATGTCTGATAATAACAAAGACCTACCATATCTAACATCGAGGTTGCCAATGTTTCAACAATTTTTCGTTATGCGTTTGTGAACAAAAAAATAAAAGGAAAAAGAAATGGACCATAACTTTTATTTAAAAAAATACTATAAAGCTTTTAAAATAACGCATTATTGTTATTATATATTTTAATGTTTGTAACTGACAAATTGTAAGTAAAATTAATAAGTAAATAATAATATCTATAAAATATGTAAAAGTTAACTAAATTCTCAAATAGTCATACAATATTTAACTCCCTGAATAAATATTATTAAAATTTTAATCAGTTATTATTAATTATTACTTACTTAATATTTAATATTATATAATTATTTTATACATTGTTCTATTATACATAAAGATTTCAAACATATTATTATAATTTTTCTATATTAATAAAAACTTGACCAACTTACTCATTATTTTACAATAACTTTATTTAAAAACATAAAAAGATTAAACATTTATTTTAGATTAAAAATATAATACATTTTTAAATTCGTAACATTACTCTGAATTATTTATATACAATTTACAATAATTACAATCACTCATACTAAAAATATTTTTTTATTTTTTTTTTATACAGTTTTCATAAGGATCTATAATAATAAGTTATGTTAATGTCCCGTCACCGGTTAAATAATATCTAAAAAAATAACTTAATATAATTACATAAATTAATCAAACGTGGATATATTGAATCTGTACTTACTGCATAATTTTATTTATATAACTCATATAAATAATATTTAATATTTATAAATAATGGCTAATAATATGATGGTGTATAAAAGTTTCTTATAAAAATTTACTGACCATTTTGAAG